TCGCCACTGAGAAGGGCAAATAATTTGTAGTGCCCAGTTTTCTTACATGTCGCTAGCAGGTGGGTAGGGCAGATAATTTGTAGCTTGTGTAACTCTACGGGCCGCCAGCAAGTGGGGGCAGATAATTTGTAGCGCCCGTGACCCTAAGGGTCGTTAGCAGGTGGGTAAGGTTGATATGTAGTGCCTAGATTTCTTAAGGGTCACCATCAAATGAGAGCAAATAATTTGTAGTGCCCAGATTCCTTACATGTCGCTAGCAGGTGGGTAGGGCAGATAATTTGTAGCGCCCGTGACCCTAAGGGTCGTTAGCACGTGGGTAAGGTAGATGATATGTAGTGTCTAGATTCCTTAAGGGTCACCATCAAATGAGGGCAAATAATTTGTAGTGCCCAGATTCCTTATATGTCGCTAGCAGGTGGGTAGGGCAGATAATTTGTGGTGTCCAGTGTCCCTACGTATTGCTAGCAGGTGGGAGCAGATATTTTGTAGATATTTAGGAGAGCCTAGATTCTTTACATATAGCTAGCAGGGGAGTAGGCAGATAATTTGTAGCCTGAGCGACCCGATCGCTAGCAAGTGGAAGCCGATATTTTGTAGCACTCAGTGACCCTCCGGATCTCTAGCAGTGTGGGCAGATAATTTTTGGTGCCCAGTGACCCTACGATCCCTAGTATAGGATATTGTGTAGCACCCAGATGATACTACCGATAGCTAGCAAGCGGATAGAGTAGATAATTTGTAGCCTGAGTGACCCTACGGATCGTTAGCATGGGGCAGACAACTTTTGGTGCCCAGGTGACCCTACGGATCGCTAGCATGGGGCAGATATTGTGTAGCACCCAGGTGACACTACTGATAGCTAAAGCGGATAGGGTAGATAATTTGTAGCTTGAGTGACCCTACGGATCGCTAGCAAGTGGGAGCAGTTATTTTGGAGCGCCTAGATTCCTTACATATAGCTAGCAGGAGGGTAGGGCAGATAATTTGTAACCTGAATGACCCTACGGATCGCTAGCATGGGCAGATATAGTGTAGCACCCAGGTGACACTACTCATAGCTAGCAAGCGGATAGGGTAGATAATTTGTAGCCTGAGTAACCCTACGGATCGCTAGCTGGGAGCAGATAACTTTTGGTGCCCAATGACCCTACGGATCGCTAGCATGGGGCAGATATAGTGTAACACCCAGGTGACACTACTCATAGCTAGCAAGCGGATAGGGTAGATAATTTGTAGCCTGAGTGACCCTACGGATCGCTAGCATGGGGCAGATATTGTGTAGCACCCAGGTGACACTACTGATAGCTAAAGCGGATAGGGTAGATAATTTGTAGCTTGAGTGACCCTACGGATCGCTAGCAAGTGGGAGCAGTTATTTTGGAGCGCCTAGATTCCTTACATATAGCTAGCAGGAGGGTAGGGCAGATAATTTGTAGCCTGAATGACCCTACGGATCGCTAGCATAGGGCAGATATAGTGTAGCACCCAGGTGACACTACTCATAGCTAGCAAGCGGATAGGGTAGATAATTTGTAGCCTGAGTAACCCTACGGATCGCTAGCAAGTGGGAGCAGATAACTTTTGGTGCCCAATGACCCTACGGATCGCTAGCATGGGGCAGATATAGTGTAGCACCCAGGTGACACTACTCATAGCTAGCAAGCGGATAAGGTAGATAATTTGTAGCCTGAGTGACCTTACGGATCGTTAGCATGGGACAGATGTCGTGTAGCACCCAGGTGACCCTACTGATAGCTAGCAAGCGGATAGGGTAGATAATTTGTAGCCTGAGTGCTACGGATCGCTAGCAAGTGGGAGCAGACAACTTGTGGTGCCCAGTGACCCTACGGATCGCTAGCAAGTGGGATCAGTTATTTTGGAACGCCTAGATTCCTTACATATAGCTAGCAGGAAGGTAGGGCAGATAATTTGTAGCCTGAGTGACCCTACGGATCGCTAGCAAGTGGGAGCAGACAACTTTTGGTGCCCAGTGACCCTACGGATCGCTAGCAAGTGGGAGCAGTTATTTTGAAGCGCCTAGATTCCTTACATATAGCTAGCAGGAGGGTAGGGCAGATAATTTGTAGCCTGAGTGACCCTACGGATCGCTAGCAAGTGAGAGCAGATAACTTTTGGTGCCCAGTGACCCTACGGATCGCTAGCATGGGGCAGATATTGTGTAGCACCCAGGTGGCACTACTCATAGCTAGCAAGCGGATAGGGTAGATAATTCGTAGCCTGAGTGACCCTACGGATCGCTAGCAAGTGGGAGCAGACAACTTTTGGTGCCCAGTGACCCTACGGATCGCTAGCAAGTGGGATCAGTTATTTTGGAGCGCCTAGATTCCTTACATATAGCTAGCAGGAAGGTAGGGCAGATAATTTGTAGCCTGAGTGACCCTACGGATCGCTAGCAAGTGGGAGCAGACAACTTTTGGTGCCCAGTGACCCTACGGATCGCTAGCATGGGGCAGATATTGTGTAGCACCCAGGTGACACTATTGATAGCTAGCAAGCGGGTAGAGTAGATAATTTGTAGCCTGAGTGACCCTATGGATCGCTAGCAAGTGGAGAGGCACATAATTTGTAATGCCTAGGTGTCCCTTCGTATCGGTAGCAGTAAATAGGGTAGATAATATGAGGCTAGGTTAAGGCACAGATATTCTCATAGTGTCAACTTTAGCACAGATTTTTCTCCCATTTTGGTCGTTGTGCGCTCACACCATCAAGAAAACGAACGTATCGTTGGAAGATTACAAAATGGCTGCTTGTGTGAGCAATTTTGTGCAACTATCCAAGAATAACTATCCATGCAAAGCCGCTCTTTTCCTCACACTCCAGTTGAAGCTCTCTCAAAGTTCCTCTTGAAGACTTCTGCATGCTCTTGAAACTTGGTTTTCCTCCACTTTTATGGAAGATTTCTTTAAAAGTAGTAGTTGCACCTGAACTACTATGACAGTAACGCAAATTTTGATTACAAGTCGTGTAAGATGTTCAGACAACGGGTAGAGACAATGTTTAACCGAGTTTCTAGAGTAGTTTGGTAGAATTTGCTTGCAACAAAAGCATCGGCTAGGAGCTACACCACTTCTTACATTCCATAAAGATCATCCTGAAGTCGTTCACAAATGTTTTCTGAGCCAGGTTTTCAGATGTTTTGGAAATCGCTGAAAAATAGGATATCTACAATGCAAAGACCCTTGTGAATATATTCTTTGCTCCCTAGACTCTTACCATTTCTGGCTTATGTAACAAATTCGCCTCTTTTAGAAACATTTTGAAAAGCCCTTTAAGTCCAATGTCTTAAAAAGTTGTTATAAGATTTGTACAAATAACGAACTTTTGCAAAAACTTTGCAAAGAAATGACTGGTTTTCGTTCCAGTATTTTGCCAAATTGCGAAAGTATTGTCAGATCCAATCCATTATAGAATAAAGTTGAATAAACATTGCAACTTGTGTCCAAACAGAATTTTTTCCTCCTTCCAGCTGCTGTAAGCGCAATGTGATTTATTGCGAGAGTGCTGAGATAATCGTTGGAATTTGCAGCCCTTGATTTTTACCATGTCTTTCGCTAATTTTCAAAATTTTCATGTGAGACTTTAGGAGACGGTTTGATAGCAGGCAACTTTTTCCCATTTGAACCAATTTTTGCAGCCATACGGCTTGTGTTTCAGAATTCCTAAAATTAAATTTATAGAGCAACATAATTTCACGCGGCGTACTTCAAGCTCGTAAAACATGAAGTGGTAAGCAGTTCAAGTATCACGTAAGTTCTCCTTTTTTTAATAGTTGTCTTTTCATATCATGACGAGACAAGCGAAAACAAAACGACAATTTCCCAATTTCACTGGTGCACACTGATATCCTAAGTTTCGAAATCTTCGCAATTTGAGGCGGAAATCATCATTACTTTGTAAGGTTAGCAGTAGCAGTAATGTGTTAAAACCTCTATTCCGAAGATTTAGCAGTGTTTGTTGCAACAGGTTATGCGAGTTTTGCAAACTCGAGACTTTTGGGAAGTTATTTAGCAAAATTCCAAAAAGGAGCTTAGAAAAGAGGAAAAATTTTTTAGCTGGCAAAAGGTTCGCTCTAGCTGGTTATTGAAACTTTCCCAAAAGTTACAGACAAAAAATTCAAAAAGTAGCGAAAGCTGGACCTTTTGAACAAAGTGTTGTACATCCCAGCGATAATCAGAGCACTCTCTTAACAAATCACACGATTAATACAGCAACTGGTAAGAGGACGAAATTCTGTATTAAACACATTTCGAAGCGTTTGTTTATCTCTATAAACAGTCCCAATTGCAAATCACAAGCATCCAAGACCGGCGACCTGACGAACTGCCAAGTGTCTCATTGCGTAAACAAATTGACCGCAGCATCAAAACGGCTCCAAAAATAGTCATGATGAACCGCGTAAACAATCTCAGGCGCCATTTCTGACACAGTGCCAAGTGCCCCACTACGTAAACAAACGTATCGTCAGCGTCAGAACCACCGGCAGAGCAGCAGTCGACAGAGTGTGAACCCAAATGCACCCAGAAAACTCTCACTCCCTGCCTTGCATTCATACCTAACCGCTCATTGATGAGTACGTTTTTTTGGCGTGATAGCCGGGCACGCCTCTCATGCAACCCGACCACCTCCGCGCTCTCCCTACTCACTTGTCTAGGAAGGTGTGGCTAATAATCTGGAAATTGCACTCTTACTATTCGTTAATATATACTGATGTAGATAACTCGCCTGACCTTTACTAGCTTGTTCTTCACCTATAGAATATGCAGCTGTAAAACCAAATGCATTGAATTTATCGTATAGAAGCATAAAATAAATGAAAATATTTGTGCAACGAAATGAAATAGTTTACATACAGAACATTTACATACAATTACGAAAGAAGCAAATAAATGGACCCGTATCTCGAATTTGTAGCCACTGGCAAATACCCTTCGAGATTAAACCCGATTCAAGAACAGCACCTAACGCGACTGATTCAGCCATCACTGGGCGATGATTGTTCCGCTGTCGATGAGTTCAAAGCCATCTGAAAAATCCATTTGGAAAGGGAAAAGGGCAAAGGAGGAGGGAGGGGGGGGGGGGTTAAGGCAGGGAACATACCGTGCGGTGGCAGTGTGGTGTTCGGGGCGAACTCGACATAGGGAATCGACAGAGAACCGAGCCGATCGCAAAGGCAAACGAACGATGGCCTTTCCTTCGAGCATAGGCGCCAGCACTCCGTCATCACCGCATATCTGTAAAAAAAAAGATTTGGATACCAGACATAAGCTGAAAAGCTCTTACATCTCATCCGAACAGCTGAGAGGCTTTTCCAACCGATTTCCATCTAGAAGATACTGTAGCAAATCCTTATCGCACACGGTCGGGTACGGAAATCCTCCCAAAGTTACGATCTCCCACAGTACTATTCCATAGGCCTAAGCAAAGACAAATTTACAACTGCATTGTAAGGAAAGGGGAAGTGTGACTGTGTTTCTCGCTAATTCTGGTAATGCTTATCTAAGATCTGAGCGTCTGAACTTCATATGTGGACTCTGATTATTAATGTTGACTGAGCCAATCCCCAAGCGGCAGCTCATTTGATTTATTTGTGACCAAGAATATACAACGAAAAAAACAGAAATACACAAAATAAAAACTATCTAATTTCCGTTTCGAGCCTAAGCATGAAGATCAATTCTGAACCCTCGCCCACATTTTTTTCTGCTGGAGCGGGCCAATGAGCGTCCCCGATTACGGTAGCGAGTACGGTGTGAGTGAGATTTCAGAACTAAACTTCTGGGTTGCAAATGGACCATAAAAGTTGCTCTTGACGTCCGCTTATTTATACCTTCCGTCTCCCACCTCAATCAGGATCCCATAGAAGAGACCTTGGTACCCCAATTTGTCTCTGGATACTATAAATCAATGATTTGAACTCACCCAAACATCGCTTTTAGTCGAATACAGATTGTCACGAATTGCTTCAGGACTCAGCCATCTCAATGGAATCACACCTGCAACACAATCACTCCTTTACATACAAATAAAACAAAAAACTTACCCTTGCTCATTTTTACGTAAATGCCGGGTCTTGACATGCCAAAGTCGCTAATCTTCAGCTGTTTGTTCTCTCCAACCAAAATATTTCGTGCAGCTAGATCTCGATGCGTAATGTTGAGAGATTCCAAGTGAGCCTAAATCCGAAAGAAGAGCTCAAATGAACAAAATCTTTGAGATAATTTTGAGCTTAACAATGGCAGTTTTATCTGCCATTAGTCAGCTACTAAGCAAGAAAATCCAAAAAAATACCATTCCATTGGCAACTTGTGCGGCAAACGACTGTAGCTCAGCAGGATCGAGGGAGTACTGTAGCTGATCTGTACCGATAAGTGACGAGTGCATTGCAGCCGACACGCTTTCATCCATGCGTAACGAAGTCTTCAGCGTCGAAACGGCCAACGATAACTGAACAAGTTACCTTAATTTTTTTAAACATGTTTACACAATTACTTTTGACTAAATTATTCCTTGTCGTGAGTCGTCCAATTTTTTATATTCAAAAGCGTGTCGGTTCTTTTGAATGACTGCGAAAATGGGAGCTTATAGTCATTCCTATTTTGAGCAGTCAATTTGCTAATTGCACTACTCTTTAGATTTGTGTTCGCAAGCCAATGGTTCGCTTCGTGGGATCGTTTCTATGTTTTTCTCTTTATCTGCTTCTATAACTATGCTATTTTTACTGCCATAATCATGATAGCTGCAACTGCACAAAAATGCAAAATCACACAAAATTGACTGCTGAGACCAGGACGGCTGTACCGTTTTGCTCGTGCTATTAAGACATATGCACACTTAGAATAACAGAACTTTTCCAGAAAAACACCACTTTTGGATGGAAGGGCGCTTCAGGAAATGATCGACTTTATTTTTATTTTCAACTAAAGATGGCAACTTATCATTTTTGTGATTAAAAAATTGTGGTTTGAATCTCGCGGCCGAGAATGAGTTACATGTTCTTTTATTTTTGCTTTCAGTCCATGTATTTGAGCCAACCGTCTTGCCTTCACAACTCACCGATTCAAAAAAAATGCTACTGTTTACCACATATTAGCAAAATCTTATCATAAGACATTTTGAGTATCTGAGTTGTTGCTTTTAGTGTGAAAGAACAAATTCGCCGCTCCCTGCAAGAACCTGGTGCAAAACGCGGGATGTCACTTGCGATGTGTTCAGCGAACAAGTGTTGCATTTTCAGACAAACGTCGACAATTGCTTTCTCAGCCTGTTGCCTTCGGTGTTTTATGGTAGAGACCACAAAGGCATCCGCCTCGTTGCTCACCTGCTTTCGCAGATTCTGTAAGTAGTGTTTCAAGTCGCCGAACGGCACGTATTCCATCACCATGCATTGAAAGTCGGGTTCTTCGCAGAAACCGTACATGGTCACGATATTGGGATGGCGTCCCACCTAGAAATCAGAATTCAAATAAGAAGAAGCTTCTTCTTGGAGTTTGTATGGAAGAAGAAGGATGAAAGATCCATGAAATTACGGGCACATAGATTTCCTATGTAGATACTGATTTGGAGGTCCTAATCAAGCCATAGCCCAAGCGGCAGCTCCTATGATCCATTTATAGTCGAGCAATTTGATTTTAAACCCTTGCCCATTGCCGTACCACGAGGACGCTGATTGCTCGGAAAGTACGAGGTGGGCGATATTCATGAATTACTTGTTTTGGCCACAAATGAATCACTTGAGCTGCCTTTCAAACAATGGCATAGTCAAGACCCCCTAATTCCACTTAAGAAGTCCAATTCCTAAATATTTGCTGCACTATCTCCAATGGGAAAGTCACGAAGACCCCAATAAGCCCTGAAAGTGCCGAAATTTGAGAAAATTACCTTTACCTGCTTCATGATGTCCATTTCGCGCAAAAATTCTTCTCTTTCCTCATCGATGGCATTCGTTTTGAGCTGTTTTATTGCCACTCGCACAACCATCCCTTTTGGGCCACTCATGGTGCCTTTGCAGACCAAGCCGAAGGCGCCTTCTCCTGCAAACAAAAACAGAATGCATGAGTTCTAAGGTGGACATGTGTTCATATTGTGGCATTTATAGTAAGGATGATGGATTTGGTACGTTGTTGAGTAAACAATCAAGATCAGCTGCGCATCCATCGACAATCACTTGATCATTACTCGCCCCATATTTTCGCTGGATTGTACACAAATTTGCGCAGGCCAGGTCAGCGATTCATTGGTGAGCCTACGGCCCCTGCATACCTCGCGCGATTTCAGCCTTTTTGTCTACGGTAGGAAAAGAAACTCAAGTACAGTGTTGTCGCTTTCTTTGCACACCTGAGCAGTATAGATTGCAAAAATCGAAGAAATTATCGTTTTATTGCTCTTTTGATCCAAGTCCTCTAAACTGCAAGATTCTCTTCCGAAAAAAGCATGTTCCGTTTGGCTTGTATCTTTTCAAAGTTAAGAGTTTGCGCTCATTGTAGAAAATAATACATATAAGATCCATTCAGATGTTTCCCTTTTCCTTGGCACAGTGGTGATTGATTTTCAGACTTTCTTATACAGTAAGCTTGTTGTAAAGCGCATTTATAAGTGTTGTTTGACGGCTTCCTGGGTATGTGTTTTCGAAGAATGAATGGTCCAATCTTAAAGAGCTGCAAACATTTGAGGAGTATCATTACAACGCATAGTACATTCATCACCATCGCAGTTGGTTCTTCTTCAGTTGGTTGGCCTTTCTTCCAGAAATTATCTCATTGTCAAGCTTGTACTTTGACATGGTGTGATAGCCGAGAGAGAATGTGTTAGTTGTCTTTGGCCGAAGTGAAATGGTCAATGATAGGATATCTTTGGTTCATGACAAGCTTTCTCCAACTAAAAGCCTTTCGTGGCATCTTAAATAAGCCTAAGTAGATGTTTTAGTTAAAATTAGGGGGGGGGGGGGTGATAAGAGATATAGTTGCTAGTTGCATAAGAATCGTGTTCAAACGATAACAAATAAGAAGTACTGAACAAAAAGTAGACTTAAACAGAACTGTGGAAAAAATAAGAAATTTAGTGTGTTTTTGTTATTCTACCACGAATTTTGTCAGTATATGATAAGATGTACGGTGGTTTTTTTTATCGTTTTATATACTTAAAAAACTTACCGATAACACCTCCCACGCTCACATCATCCGCTGGTATCAGCCATTCTTCTTCGGTTTGAGGTGTTCGGAATTCAACTGGTTGTCGGTAAAGTATATTTGTTTCCAGGATTGAGTGCCTAAATCAACATCAAGATTTTGTAATGAGACCTATGAAAAAAGTAATTTAAGAAAAGGTAAATTAGGCTGAAGTTTGAAAAATTTTGTAAAGCGAACTTTGTAATCGAATGACATTTATAATTGATTGGACTACTTGACTGCACTAAGTATTGATAATTTAAAGCATTTTGTAATATATCCGTGAAAATGTGGAAATCCTTACCTCGAATGAGACAATGTCCACGGCCCAAAACGTGGCAACTTCCGCTTTTTGACGCTCTGTCGCCTCCGATACAAGCAATAAATCAAAATTGTGCACAGAGGACTGAGCATAGTGAACAGCAATACGGACGCAATGAAAATAGAAGGATCAATCTGAAAATTTGTTTATTTTCGGCTAGAAACATATGAAAATTAGTTTACCTCTTGGAGCATGTTAGCAACTTTGTTGAGCGTTGGCGTCCTCTGAACTTCTACCGTCTCCATTTTTGGTTGTTCTTCGGTAGCATTCGTGATGCCTAGAACTAATAAACGATATTTAATGTAGATAATTACAGTTTGTTATCAGTAAAATGGGCTAGATCAGTCTCAGAAGTTTTTAGTACAAATTTTTGTCTTTTGCAAATTGATTTCACAGAATAGGCAAACTCAATTTATTGTTGTTTCAACAAAAGGTCTTCGTAAATATGCTTTTCTTCTGTGAGCATTTTTTCATAATATGATTCTGATGTTAGCAATAAGAGGTTCATCCAACTGCCAAGTTTCTTATTGGATTTTCTATCTCCTCAAAAAAGTGCGAAAAATTTCACACGTTGACGACAACGTGCGTTTTTAGTTGTCTGCCTCTTGTGACAATGCCCTCCACGGATAAGTCGATAATTTTTAAAGAACATTATGCAGATCGTCAACTACAGTATACATACAGTATTTCTTTGAAGCACACAAGAGCACTTTACAGGGTTGGAGCGTAATAGAACCTCTGGAACGAATATATTCTAATAGCAATCTTTTCAACCAAAATTCGAGCATTGACCCACCTTATGGGTCACATTGTCGCAGATGGCAGGCATTGCATGACCCACTGTGGGTTACGTTGTCGTCAGTGTGTTAAAGTAGGATTTCTTGGTAATTAAATTACACGACAAAAGCAGAAAAAATGTAATTTTAGAGCTGTTTTAATGGGAATTTTTTGGAACCAATTTTTACGGTTGTACGATAAGACCAAATTTTTCATGTTCTACGAACGCATTACAGAGAAAATTGGTCAAATATAATGATAGTTCCAATATCCGAATCATAATCGGTTATTAATGCTCAGGATAAGCCCAAGGTCAGATGATAAACAAATCTCCCATCATAATTCGTTTTCTACGATACGATAGTAATTCAAACTCTTCTTCTCCGTTAATAAAGAGAGATTGTAAGTAATTGATAAATGAGAGACGACGGATAGGACCAAACTTAGGTTCTAAAATAGAATTTCCTCTTTTACGCAACTATACTAACTGTAAAGTTAACCTACCCAATATGGACGAGATGTTGGAAGGCCTAGCCGGCTGCATTTCAAGAGCATTTTCAACAATTTCTGACTGAGCAACAGGCTCGTATGCTGAAGTGTTGAAGAATGTAACAATGTCCCTGGTATGGCAGAAGTGATCATCCTCAGCAAAGAGCGTGATCTTGTATTCGTTGAGACGCTTCAGATCGTAGTCGAATTTGTACAGATAGCTTTTCTGATTCTGTAAGAGCAGAATGAGTATGATATTTGGAAACCTGAAAAAAAGGAGATCTGCTTACTTTCATTCCACGGTGCTCCCGCTCACCATCTTCAGCGATACGAAACCGAAACGCATTTGGATCTTTGAATTCAATTGGCGGATGAAATCTGGAAAGCAATACGAATAATTTTTGCCAGGTTGAATTGCTCCCGATGTTCGAACACTTTATAAACCAAGCGCATCCAAATTTTGCATTGAATTTCCACTATCTGGTTTTGAATCCGAACTTCTAAAATATTCACTACAGATATATGTAAAAGCACATCATAGTTTTGTGTGATTAATACAAAAGGATTCAAGTCACAATAAATAAAGCAGTCCTCATAAAAACAAGAAACTTTACGTAAAAATGGAGCCTTATGTTCAATACAAAAAATTAAAGCAGTATACACGACCGACAAAACTTCAAACCAATTCCTTTGATTTTTACCATTTATCTGCTTTCATCCTCTTACATTCTTATTCTAAGCAGGGTTCATTTTTAGATAAGGCATGCCCTTTCCAAACAAAGTTCTCCTCTTTATTTTATGATTGATATCGGGAGGAAAACCTATGCGGTAGACGAGAAAAGCATAAGTGCTGCCCCGTAAGCAATTATCCAAAAAAGCTTCCTATTCATCGACTGACTCTCATAAACATAAAAAACAAAAGTGATGATATTTTGCAGTTTTTGCGGATATATTTGCAGTTATTTACATCAAAAGCCGAAATTTTGGCGCAAATCATTTGCAAATATGTGAGCATGCACAGGATGTACAGTCGAGTAGATTTCCTGCTTAATATAGTGTCCCTGCAGACGCGACAACGCTGGGGCGTCAATAATTGCCTTGCGAGTTTCCGAACGAATGTTTTCCACCGTTTTCTTTGCTTATCCTTTGCTTTTTAGGTATTTCGTTGCTGATAAAGAGGAAAAGGTAAGTTAGGTAGTAGTTTCCGTTTTCTGAGAAGTTTCATCATCGCATATTCACAGATATCTACGTAGAAGCAGTTCACGTCAGTTTTACGCCTATTTTTTGTGTCATTTCCTTTTCTTTTGTCAATTTAACCCTCTTTCTTCTTGTGAGACGTTTCTTTGAACGCTAGTTGGCTTGTCTTGTAACAACTTCGGCTTTCACTCATAAGTTATATCATTAGAGCGAGAACTTCCTGTGATAAAGACAATAAGTCAATCGTAAAAACCTACTAGCGTTCAAGGAAGTACTTCACAAGAAGAAAGAGACATGAAGTGACAAGAATACGCATGAAACTGATGCGATCAGCTTCTACATGGATATCTGAGATTAAGCGATGAAATAGCTACTCAGAAAACAGACTTTATCCTCTAACCTACCCTCTTCTCCTTTATCAGTGACGATTTACCTAAAAAGAATAAGAATAAGATAAGAAAACACTAGAAAACCTTCACTCGGAAACTCGCAAAGCAATTATTGACGCCCCAGCGTTGTCGCGTCTGCAGGGAACTATATTAAGCAGGAAATTTACTCGATACATCAACAGTTCCGCTGGCTATTGTTGCGCAAGAAAAGATTACCAAAAAAGCACAAAAGTCGTCTAACTACGCTCCCTTCCCATTTTCGACGCGCAGGTGCTGTGGATGCCGCAGAGGCACTATCTTGAACGCGAAACGTGCCAAACTATGGATAGAAAAGTGCGCCATAAAAGAATAATTGCAAACAGTTTTTGAAAAAGCATTTCTTAGTTTGTTGAGTTGATTTACATCAAAAGTATAGGCAAACAAGCTGTGAAAATGTGTACTACTACTTGGTACGTATTCATCCAAACAAAACACGAGAAAAGGACAATTCCCTGAAAGTTGAGTTTCTATTTTACAAGTCGTGAAGTACAGCGCGTAGTGTGCAGTATACGACTAATTCGCTTGCATTGCTTCCCATGGGCCTACCTTAGTTACAGTCAACCTGCTAATTTTAATGACAGTGGATTATTTTACAGGGTGGAGGACCCTTCGACCTAAACTGCTCAGTAAAACAAACTTTTTTACCGATGCTCAATACACATATCACTGGTTTGATTATCGTATCAAACAGACCGCTTTCCAATCAGTTTCGTATCAATTGTTTTGCACATAAAAATGATAATCAACACATGTTTCAGGGAGCTTTACGAATTTGCTAATCTCTTCCATAATTCTTGCTACAATACATACGATCCAGTTATTTGCCGGATGGAAAAGCAAAGGCAGAAAGTTTTGAGGCGAATTTATTGCCCTTGTAGCAAGTGACATATGACGGACATCGTAACAGAAAATTGATGCCGCTGCTCATTTTTTACGAATTGTAAAATTTCGCTTTGTATATCCGCACATAAAGAGGAGAACAAGCACTTCGTACTGCTGGCGGAAGATTGAAAAAAATAACGAATTTGTCTTTTCTGTTAATGGCGTCGATTTATTCTGTGAAAAAACATCAGATTTTGAAAAAAAATTATGTTGTTTACTAAAAACTTCCAATGAAAATTTTGCAGTCAAACAGCATATTTCTCCCCTGTAGTGAAGAAGCGAAACCCATAAAAATTATTGTTTTTTCAAATGATATGATATTTTCCAATCGAGGTCGAGTCTCCTTCGAAGTGCAAGTTTATAAGGGGAGTATGTGCTTCTGCGGTGCCGACAACACATGCGCGGGAAAAATGGCCATGGAGCTCGCATGATTTCCATGTCTGTGCTCCATGGTCACTTTTTACGCGCAAGTGTTGTCGGTACCGTGGGAACAATATCAATGCCAAGTATGCTAGTTGTAAACTTTTCTCGTGATTATACGATCTGCTTCCTAATCCAGAACGAAGTATAGTTGAAATATTTGTAACCCAATGCGTATATTGCACACTACGTGCGCTACTTTACGACTTATAGGAATAGAGCTTTATTGCTATAATTTCTAAAAAAGGCTAATTATTGATACTTTCTAATCATTTTTAAGTCTTCACATACAGTTCATTAGAAGGTTAATATTGTGCTTCCAGTAATAAATGCACGCGAAAAATTGTCATGCTTGTACGGCCGACATTTGCGCGTCAAAAGTGGCTATAGAGCGCAGATATTTGAATTGTACACGCCATGGGCATTTCTCACGCGCAAGTATTGTTGGTACCGCATGTGCAGTGATAAGCTGCGAATTACTAGATTCTAATCATTCGGGGTAATTTTTGACCTGTCTTAAAATGAAAATTATAATAATTTCTAACAGTGCTACCTTTCATGCAGAGTGATGTAAAATGTGTAGATACGATCGTTTTTTGGCTCATGGTTCCATTTAATCTCCACTCCCCCATTCACTTCGACAGCAGACAGGCCCGTTGGCAGTGCAACTGCTCCTTCTGAAAGCATTGTACTCTGTAGCTTTCCCAGAGTAAATCAGCACCTAAGGCGCACAGACACGAGCACGCCGAGCAGCTGCTCGGCGCTTGTCTTCCCATCCATCTAAAATCGATCGTAAAACGCGAACAAGTGATTCGTCGTGAGAGAGAGATCGCGGCAAGTAGCTCGTAACAGTCGTGTTCACAACCATTATGCTCATTCTGATGCCTGTGCGGTGCGACGGACGCACTGCGGGAGGCAAAAAGTTTGAATTTCGCGCCTACGACAGACGCTCCTTTCCTATTGGCCAACACAGGTCCCGACAAGATATTGTATAGTGGCGCAAAAGCGGGCGAACAATCACTTGCTTCCCTCCCTCCCCCCCCCCCCCCGCCCACATTCTTCCCATTTTTCAAGAAAAAAAAACTCACCGCTACAGGCGCAGAAACCGTCGATGCAGTGCGGAACTGAGTGATGCGCTATGGTCACGTATGCTGCATCTCCATATGGATAGGGTTTCGAGTGCATCTGCAACCTGGAAAGAAGAGAAGAATTATTCTTGACTTTGAGCAAAATTGGGAAAAAAAGATATTCTTACTTGTACTCGCAGTCATGGTTTACCACCAGCGGATGATTGTTGAACAACAATGGAATTGGATGACTTCGTTCATTCTAAAATAAAAAAGCAATGCTCGACACTATTCTTCTTCACCTTTCGACATCAGAATAAAAAATACTCAAAATTTGCCAGATTAAAGAGTTACAGGCTGTGTCAATCGCGTACTCCCTTATTCGTCGGGGCAATCGCAACGCCGCACCTTGCGGGCGTTTTTGGGTATCCGAACAGGCCCTACCGACTGGAAATCCGCAAGCGAAGCCCTCGCGTTGCGGAAGCATAGTTGTTTCTACACAAAAGGGAGACGTGATTGACACAGACTATATTGGTATTTCTTTCCTTTATTTCATAATTCCTTTCATTGCAGAGCCTACCTGAATTTTGTTTGACTTATAATATGTAGCCACGTACGTATGTACTGAGAATGATTTAGAGCAAACATTTTCGCAGATTTGATGCTCTTGAAGCTTCTGCCATAACACTTAGGCTGAGGAAAGTGCTAGGCGACATTTTCCAGTAAAAAGTTGCCGTGGAGCGCACATTTTCGAGTTTTGCAGAGATTGCCATTTCTTACGAGCAAATGTTGTCTGCATCGCAAAAACACTGCTACTATATTTATCGTCATCTTTGAAACTTTACCGCATCATTTGACTTCTGTCCTTAAGGTATATGGCAAGGAATGAATTTTTAGGCATATTTTGGGGTACAAATTTCTATCTTTTACAGTTTGCAGTATATTTTGGACTTTATTAGACTTCGTACTTTCTAATCCGTGGTAAGAGCCTCCATTTTCTAAAAAATGGGCTACCGCTCCCCCCCCCCTCCCGCTACTCAGCCTTTTGAAAAAATTTCCGTGTGAATTATGAAAATATGCACTCTACAGCCTTTTTGGGAGCAAGTCTCAAGCAAGTTGGTAGCCTTCACAAACATGGTATTGCTCACGCGCGAATGTTGTCGTCACCGCAAAGGCACTGATCTGTTCCATGTGACTTGTGTGTTAGTTTATACCTCTATAAAGCCTTTCAATAATGATTCTTCAACTTCTCCCTAATTTTTATATATGGAAAACCTACAGGTCCAATATTGGAAGCGAAGTATCCAGGAAAATCATGTTGACATTGTTCGCCAATCGCACTAAAGCGAAGATAGAATCCCGTTCTCGAGATATCTGAACAATGCACTCAATTGCTACAATGTTTATTCAAGGGCCGTCGACATCGGGTGAGCTGCCATGACAGCTCGTTGACGACGTTTGCCAGGAACTCACCTTTGGCCGCGCTCCAAGTGACAGTTGTCTCTAGGAACTTTCCGCTGTCGATCACTACAGCCGTATCTATTGAGATGTTCGTCGGTGGGGCAGGATAATCTGGAAAGGTGGGGAAGATTACATGTAATTGAACTGTGGTCGCACTTAGTTAGTCCCTGACAAGGCGAACACGCGACGCGGGGCACAGGCAGATTAGCGCGCTCCAATGACTATACTTGCCCGGCCGCCGTTCGCGTCTGCCTCACAGCGGTAAATCTGCCCTGCTCAGAACCAAGCCTTACTTGAAAGCTACTCACAAGCAACGTCGGGAACATTGTCCTTCCTGGGAGATTTGGCACATTCCGTTAAGCAAGCCTCGTAGGCTTTGTGACTCTCCAGATGAGCGCATTCAAGCACGCAGTCGGACCTCTGCTGCAGAGCCCGTGCCGAACCCGGGGTGGCAAACAGAGCGAGCAGCAACGTTATCATCCTCCTTCCCGGGTCATGCGGGTTGATTTCTGATTTTTGAAGCCTAGAAGTCCAATTTTTGGGAACAGTGTGGCAGGTGGATTGAAAATAAATTCGAGAGCATTTTGCTAATGAAATACGACTTAAAGCTGAGTACAGAAGTTAAAACAGATTTTTACATATCATGAAACGTAAATGGGTGCGCGGCTGATATCGCCCTTGGGTCTTTTCATCTGATGCGCTCCAGCTAGATAGACGCTCGACTGCCGCGTTCCCTGCTGCTTCGCCAAGATAAACCACCGGGTAGGGGAAGAACTCCCCCAATTTGAGCTCGCCTTCGCTGGCAACTAGTCCTTTTGCAATACTGTTGCATGTCGTTACAGGACCGGTAGTCCACGGAGGCGGTTCAAACTGGCGGAGTTCGTTCCCCAACCCTAAACCACCTCTTTCGTCCGCGACCAGACCTTACGCGAAAAAAAATTGAACTATGCAGGAAGTTATTACGGGAAATTGTCATCCCTGACCTAAGAGAGTGCTAAAGATGGCTATTGATTTTTTTTTCAGAACAGACGGAAAATAATCGTCAAAAGGCACTTTGAAGCATGTGCACCCTCTAGTCGTTTCTGAAGTATTAGGTTGGTGCAAAAGTAATGGCCGATTTTCCAAACCTTTTTTCAGGGCAACTTTTTTCCATCAATACTTCTTCTTTACAATGGATGTAGTATACCATCGCGAAGCTGTTTCCATGCTCTATCTAACGGTGCTTGAAACGTGCTCTCATCCTCATCTGTTATAAAGTTACTGAGCTTCAAATAACCGCATCCAATTCATTGCTTTCACTTTTCCGGCCAGAATTCAAGCGCGTATCAATGGAATTTCTTCGAAAATTTAGCTATTGTTTGTAATAGAAATTGTCTACATTATGATACTTGACTGTGTTCTTTGAGGCTATCCAGACTGAGATATCGGCGCCTAAACATGGGTAGCTGTTGCGGTCATTTTATGACCCATAATTTTCTTCTGAAGAAGTCAATCGCCGGAGCTTTGCTCAATTCTCTAAGCGTAGGGCTAGGGCATCCTGTTAGCAGTTTTTGCAAAAACATCCAGCTGTTCAGTACCTAGAAAATCAAAAAATTCTATATTCGGGACTTTGAGGCACACTGAAAAAATGTTCAAAAAAGTGAGAAATTTCAAATTTCAATTTTTTTCTTTTTCGCAAACTTTTCTGTCCGAATTCTTTTTACTGCGTTTTGTACTACTGGCATGCGGCTACAAGATGGGCTACTTAACATTTATACTAACAAATCTTGAAGGAAGATATGAATTGTCAAAAACAAAGTTCTAGCAGAAGAACCTTTTTTATTTTTCAATCCATATTTTTCTGCCCGTTCGTGATATGAGTATAAATAAATGTGCGCTGCATTGCGGAAGGTTTGCTGCTTCTGATAGTTTTTATCGCATTCGGAAATGTGAATTCTTCCAAACGTTATAGCACGTCAAAGTGAGAATTCGCAAATCGGCCATTACTTTTGCACCAACCTAATACAATCTTCGGCATTTGCAATTCTTTTCAATTTGTTTTCAATTCAGGTTTTTTCAAAGCATAATTCTCTCCTACCGCGCAATTATTCCACATTCGTTTAGAGCTTATGTAGTCTTATGTAGTCCCTCATTCATTGTAAGACTAAATTTGTTACTGAATAAATGTCGGCTGTTTCGCTATTCAGCGCTCATAGATTTTTGTAAAACTAGAAAAAAACATGCATACAAGAAAGTGACATCGTTATTACAGCGTTGTCTCCCTCATTGTCATTTCAGTCGAGAATCAATGAATGTACATTTATTACGACCAAAGTATCTTTTGTGGATAAAAACATTCTCAAGGTGTATTCATTTTCAGTTTGCGAAATTCTTAAGTCCACGAAGATTGTAATTTATTTATTTTGTCTAGCGCATTCCGCACTTTGCACTTGACAGCATGTATCTTTGTACTTAACTAACAACTTCTGAGAAAGCAAACAAGAGCAAGCAAAAATCAAAAGTTGTGCAAAAATTTTAGTCTTCAACATCAGTTAGCTTATATTCGCTGTGAATTCATATGATTAATTTTGAATCATGATCAGGTTAGCTTCATCGTCCTTCGGAGATTGTTAACAGAGCAATTCCCAGAACTTTTCTATCATAGTAAAACATATCGTTGGCATGTCTGGAGAAAAAGCTCTAGAAATTTTTGCGAAATTTCCAATTTTTTGAGCTCATTTTTGCTAGAAGGTTTTTCTGCTATTAGAGAAAGTGTAGAGCTTCGTCACAAAGACCGAAGAATCCAAATATGAATTTTTGGGTTAAAAATATGAAATGATTAAAAATATAAAGTTACACATTTTTATTGACATACTGTTGAGGCAAACGCAAATAATTCAAGGTCCACATTATTTGTTTCAGTGGCTCCTCTATTCCAAAACCCCCTCTATCTTCTGCCATATTTTCTTGGAGAAAAAACATCTTGTCAGGTAAAAGCAACTGTGTTGAAATATGGAGTGTGATATCAAGAAACGCGCATAAATCCATGGCACGAGGCATCTGCTGTAAATGCTCTGTTGTCTACCAACAACTTCAAAAAAGATCGCTGTAACGGAAGAAATTGTCACGGCAAAAAATAAAGCATTTTCAGCACTATAGAAAATTAACTGATTAGGTAATTAATTATTAGTAAAATTATCATAAAAGATTATCGTTGCATAGACTTTTTTTTGGCGTATAGGCGAAGTACGGCTTAACATCGATAAAAATTGAACGCGACCCTAGAAATTTTAGGCTTTCTTCCACAAACCGTATTAGATATTCGTCTTTAAGATTCAACCGAGTTCGAAAAAAATACGTTCAAAAATGAAATTTCCAAATCTGTCTGGGAACTATCTTTACAACCTAATAGTTTGTCACAATAAAGGACTGAATTCAGAACCACGTTTGTTTCGCGTTTACTGCTCAAATAAAGTAAAGCGAAATTTCTTTTGGAGTTTAAAGCACATGAAGACATTAAAGTTTGTCTTTCGTTCATTACAATAAAGTTTGTGGCTGAAGTAAACTCATGCGTTTATTAGAATGCAAAGCTACTAATTCCTAAATGTTCGATTTATACGCGTTTTCAGAAGCATAAATGCATCGTAGTTATTAATGATTCATAGTTATAATATAAAGCGACAGCAAAGATTTCACTCAATCTTTGAGTAAAAAAAACCTCTAAGGTTAGTAGTTGTTATATGATATATGCCAGTGCCAGGTTTGTACGGTGGAATGTTTTATTGACCTTACGTTTCGACAAAATCGTCTTCGTCGGAGGCCTGAAAGTAGATTGCAGTGTTATCTGTGGGAACAGATGTTATCTGTTATCTGTTAGACTTAAGGAGCATCTGGCGGCAAAAAGACGAGCAAATGCAATGTCGCCGTTGGGAAGACACAGAATAGAAACGCACAACGGCGGTGAATTTGACGTTAAGTGCACTATTTTGTCACACGAGGCAGAGATTACAGTGAGGAAAACCGTTGAGGCAGCGTGGATTATTTCCCTTCGAAATCCTAGCATGAACAACAAAAATGAATGAGTACCAATAATAGCCGAACTCTTGCCTATCTTAACGATCTGTGAGCGATAGTCTGCACATATATAAATGACAGTCATAGGACAGCACTTAGTGCCGTCTGTCTCTTCGGTGCGACTAAGTACTAACTCTACTGACTCTCACTAACACCACGGTGGATAAAGGTTCGTCTTCTCATCGACATGCCCCTGTACGTTGAGTTCGGAGCGCGGTCTAGGCTCGGCAGTGGGAGGCGTTTGGCGGTCTCGTCCCACAGATAACACTGCAATCTACTTTCAGGCCTCCGACGAAGACGATTTTGTCGAAACGTAAGGCCAATAAAACATTCCGCCGTACAAACCTGGCACTGGCATAATATCATATAACAACTACTAACATCAGTCCAAATGCCCAGGTTTAGAGAAGAGAGAACATTTAACCTCTAAGGTTTTATTTGAAAAGAGCCGTCACTCAATCCCAGGACGTCCTTTTCTACGAAAGAAGGTTCAAACAAAAATTCAGAACAAAACTCGAAAAAACAAACACGTACAAAAAATATCAGAACTCTTGCACTTTCTAATATTCTTCGCTATTCTAAATTTTTGGTTAATCTTCCTTTGAGAAACTGTGGAACAGAATCAACGAAATTTTCTCCAGTTTCTCACTTCATAAATGTCATTTTTTCTATTAACGCAAACATTGAGATTCGAACGTTGACTCGTTTGGAATACCTAAAAATTCATCATCAAAAGTTGTGTTCAATGGTTCTAGGAAAACTTGTTCTTGTGAAGAAATCAAGATTTTCAGGGAGAAGAAGAGAGCAGATTCAATAATCTGGCAAACTTTATCAAGGTACGTCACTAGCTATGAGAATCCAAATAAGATGTTGTTGGTGTTTTTTACTAGTAGCTGTGAGGTAACTGGTGTAAACAACGTAAATAATAGATTATTTTTAGAAAAACATTGCAGAGACCTGCTCAACACTTGCAATCTACTAAAGTGCCCTTTTTACTTTGCAGCGAAAGGTGCTCGAAATGAAGAAAGCTCTCTTGTAAGAAGGATATACGCTTTGAAAAAAAGGAATAGGATTGGAGTCACATAAGAAACCTTGGCAGAATTGCATAGAAATAGAGCTTCAAAAATTTGGTAGCAATATCGGAATAAAAGTAGCCTTCTTGTCTATCTTTCACCTTATAAAGTAGAGTTGAGACATGGCCAGAGAACATATGTTTCTTCTTTTAGAAAGTCTGGTACTTCGAAACTACGGCTATTTTGAGGATGGGACATTTTTAGCTATTCCATAGTGTTTACAAAAGGAGCTATAGCTTATACTCTTCTTCATATAAACCCTTTTGGAGAAAGATGTGAAAAATTTGGAATTGCAAGTTAGTTATGGAAATTTGCAAAACATCAGAGAAATTCAAAAGAAACTAGATCTTTTGA